CCAGCACTGAGCTGCAGGGGCTGGGGCTGGGAAAGGAAAGCTCTTTCAAGGAAGGAGCCTCCGATTCTTTTGAACTATACTACGCAACTGCCACCACTACTTGAATTAAGATTGACATTTGGATGATTTTCTTTCTTTTGTGTGTGGGGGAAAGTACAAATTTTCCCCCTTAAACGTGTCACTGTTAATGAATACTCAGAATTAAGCAATTTTGGGAATTGATTTTAATATTTGAAAATTAATTACTTCCCCTGGTAGAATTTGAAGGTCTAACTTTTTTACTGCCAAAAGATACTGATACTTTAAATCAAAATGCAGGAATACTTAAAAAAATTACGAAATAGATGCTAATTTAGTGTCAAGAGCTTTGAACATCCAGTGAATTCTACGGCGTACAGTTTTGTGAAATTGAGCGTGTCCAATATTTATGTAAAACAGACTTCCCACTTTTGTCAGAGAACAGGTTGACTGATGTTCACATCATAGGAAACCTTGAAGTTATCAGTAACAAGAACTCGGTGCTTTTGCAGAAGCAAAATAAGAAAAAGACACATCTAAGAGTTTAGGAAGCTGTGCAAGAATTCTTCTTTCACATGTAAGGTAATTTTTAAAAAATAGTTTTTTCTGTCTTATTAGGGAATGGGATGGTGTTTTTTCAGCTCTTTGTTAAAAATCCATTCCACCTGCAATGTGGAAATGGGTTAATCCAGGTTACACTGAATTTTAATGTTGTTCCTAGTCACGCAGACCACAGTTTCCATGTCAGATACTTGATTTTCTGTCCTGTTAAATGGGCACAGAGCAGCTCTTAACACCAGTAGTGTCAGCATTTTTAAAAATTTCACTCTGAAACTGTACTCGTATGACTGCTTTTAGCCACAAGATTTTCTTATATATAAATATTTGTATTTATAGCTCTGGAAAAGGAACGTTCAACAGCCACCATGTTCTAGCACTGAGCATCTGCCCAACTGCTTCTAGCCCAGTAGTCAAAGGTTTCGTAGTGTTGTCAAGGAAGTAACAAGGATGAGATAAAGCTCTTTTAGCCAGATCTAAAATGCTTTTAGGTGGTTATTGAGCTCTAACACTCAGGAGGCTAGTAATTTTGTAAAGGTAAATTCAGAAGTCCAGGTTGAGAAAGTGTTCTTCAAGGCAGCAAAGCACATGTTTTAGTGAAAATGAAAACAAAACTGATTCAGTTTGTGCGCAGTGAGACGTTCAGATGAAAAGCTGCTGTAGGCAAAATATTTGATTGTAAACAAATGAGTGAATGCTGGAACTACAGTGCTGTTGCCAGCACAACTTGATGATTTCTTTCCTTGTGGTTTAAGAAAGATGCTGTTTGAGGCATTTCAAATGATAAAAAAGTTTATGTAGTTACCTGTGGCAATTGGTACACAAGTTTCTGAAAGCCTGAGATAGGAAACTCATTACATGATTCTTCACCAGTCAGCGCAGGCAATCCTCCCTTTTCTCCCCTAGTTCAAGGAAGATGGGAGGAAGGCAAGCGCCAAGGCTTGGGGAAAGGAGAACGAAGTCTTTACTCTTGAGAATTTAGGAAAATGTTGTAAAATCAAATTTAATTCATTGCAAGACAGTCTTGGGTCATGTACAAAAGCACAGTATGAATGTGAATTCAGAGCACTTGCTCAATACAGCTGTTGATTGTATAATTGGTAAAAAGCACTGAAAAAAGGATGCTACAATTTCCAAACTGTGATGTTAGATACTTACGTATCTTGGCTCCATGAGTAAATCCTCTGACATCAGTGACGTTACTCAGAAGCACTTGCAACCCAGACTATAAAATCTTTAGAATGGAGCTGAACAGCTTCTTGTAGACTTCCCGTATAACCGTGTTTCAAATGCTTCCCCTCAGATGTCTAATTAACACATTTATACACAGTGAAGAGCACATAAAGACATCCTTAACAGGAAAGGAAAAACAGCCTGACTGCAAAAAGTAATTAACCCTTCTGTTGAGCAGAAGCAAAGCGTTCCCAGTTTTGACATTTGAAAAATGCAAAATCTCAGTGCCTTATTGCTACTTCTAAAGAGAAGTAGCTTCATATGGTTTTTTAAAATCCCATTTCATTTGAAGTTTTAGCCATCTGAATTGTTTTACATTTTTATGGTAAAATAGTGCATACAAAGTGCCAGAGAAAAAAAAATTAATATTCTGTATGACAAAGTTGCAGCAAAAGCTCAAACCTAAACTTTTAATCTTTTAAGTCTTAAGTATACAACTTGGGGTAATTCCCCACCCGCTGCGTTGTCATGTTTCACAAAACTGTACTTGGCTGACATGTGTCATCTTACTGCGGTACTAGGACAATGCAGCAGCAGTGCAGATCACCGTTAAACACAACAGCAAAGAGCAATGAAATTCAGTTTCAGAAGAGAGTCCTGAGGTATGTAACTGCTTGACAATAACTGGATGGTAAGTCAGGCGGACTTGGCAGACAAACACAATGCAAAAAAACCAGAATGGAAATGAAGCACATCAGTCTGAACTTTGGCAAAAGGGGATAAATGACTTACCTTAAAACCTAGGAAGTCTGTGAAGAAAGAACAATGTCCATGTTCTTACTGTGTTCATTGCAGAAGAATCCCTTCATTAACAAGACACAGGCACTGTTTTGTTTCATGGGCTCATGAAGAAAGGATGTATTTGTGCTGTAGTTTTTATCATCAAGTGCTATTTCCAGAGCTCTACCATTACTATCAAGTGCCTTTGTCAACAAATGAGGAAGTGATATATCCTTTCTCCATTAGAAACATGTGGGGGAAAAGAGTGTTTGCCATATGGGGAAAAGGAGGAAGTGCATGTTTAAGTTTCCTGGATACCAGAGCAAAAAAGGCAAAGCTTAAATTGTCTTTAAGTACATTATATTTATAGTTCTGAACATGTGTTCATGCATTTTACAGCTATTCAACAATGACATTTTGAAATTTTACTGTAATTGCAGAATTTCTCCTAGAAGCGAGAGGTGAGTAATTTTTAAGTTTTTGGTGCAATACGATGAGGTTAGTAAGTTTATTACATCTACGTTTTAATTCCGTGATGATTCTTGACCAAACTATTGGAGTCTTTAGCAGTACAATGTAGTTATAATTGTTGGGTCATATCCTGAAATCCACTGGAGCAGCAGCTTAACTGGCAGCATTGAGGAAGGCCTGTATTGATTAAACAATACTTGAAGATTATTTCCTCAATTCTCTTTCTGCAACATTTACTTTTGTTGATGTCTGACACCTGCTTCCAGGAGCTAACAGCTACCACCAGAAGAGGCTGGCTTTTATCCCTGGGACAACTGCAAAGCCAAAGTGGAAAAATGCATCTTTGCAATGTGCAAGGGCAGCTGGTACTGGCTATGGCATGAGCAGCCTCACTTCTAAGTCTCTCTTCTCTCATGAATCCTTTTCCCTTCCTTTCTGCTTTCCAAACCCAGATTGTTCTCCCGTCACAGCTTCAGCCTCTTGTACGTATTCCCCTGAGATCTCTGAACATTGCAAAAAGTAAACTGCCTTGAATCAAAAAGGAAATAGTAACAAAAAAGGTGACTTGGTTAAGCACCCTGTAACTATTTTTTGGTGAGCTTTACAGCATCTAACAAAAATTAAAGGAAAGAAAACTTTATACTTCACTTTTCACAACAACACTGATGAATTGTTTTATAAATTCTAAAGACTATCTACAACTTGCCAAGTCATCTCTATTTTGCTGGTACGCGTTACAGATAATGATACCGAGAGCTGCCATTTAAGGCACCATTTTGATTCCAGGATGTAGATTTAACCATTCTTGATACCAAGCAAGCGTTACGTTCTCAGTTCTCTGAGCAACCTATTTGGATAGAATACTAAACCAATAAGGTCAGTTAGGGGAAGACACAAGTGACAAACTTTAAACTGTGGTCATAAAAGTGCAAGAGTCTCAGCCAGCACATGTCAACAGGTTCATCCCACTTCCAGTTTGAAGTTGTTCCTGAAGGTTTATGCTGGAGGAGATAAAGAAATATATAGGACTATTCTACCTCAGCAAAAAGCCTGATGCGATTCCCTGTGCTTTTTTTACCTAACCATGCTTCAGAACTACAAATACATGTTTTCTGTGAAGTATGTAAGAAGTTTAAAACAAAACATACATTTTGAAAACTGAACTAATGCTTTTATTTATTTTTAACTGAGTTTTCATCCTCTGCCTACTGCTTAAAAGACAAGATCAACAAACATATAACAGTATAGTCAACAAAATTTTAGATATCTACTGCAGACATGTCAAGAGCATGGCTGCAGCTGGAAGTATTTCTTATTTATTTTAGACTACAATATTCGCTACAGGATTTAAGAATGGATCTTCCACATACAGACAAGCTCTAAAAAAATCTCGTTTTCCTCTTCTGTATAAAAATATGGCATGCACGCACACAAAACAAGACTTCTCTAGGAAAAGATGTCTGCCATAGGTAAAAGTATTTAAAAAAAAATAAAATTGAAAGATCTTGTACAGATAAAAAAAGGTGCTATGCATGTACCAATGTCAACTGTATCACAAACTGTCATTCATTCTATGCTATTCTAACAGGTGGATCCATATAGTACATTTGCCTTTATTTAATCTTGATGTTTTATGTGCTCCTTAAATTGCCACTCAACAGGCTTGTTACTATCACCCAGAAATGTCTCATTTTGTTCCAGATACGTTTTTTAAAAATACAAAAAGCAAATTAATACAGAATTAGCTTTATGCCTCAAGAGCTGGTTCAACAAATTTAACTTTCCAAAACAATACATTTGTTTCCTGAGATGGCTAAAAGTCACGTTTCAACTTCACGTTACACTACAGTTAACCAAAAACACTATGCACAAAATCAGAGGTTAGCTACAGCACACAAGCACAGTTACAGAAGTCACCTAATTTCACTAGCACTATTTGTGTTCATGTGTACACCTTAACAAAAGTCCTAAAATAATTTTTATACAATACAAAACAAGGATTTACAAAATATTTCCAAGTTACTTCATTCTAAAAACGCTGAAACATAAAAAAATACCATTTCCTAAAGGAGTTTACAATAAAAGGCTAACAACCTGGCATGGAAGAAGTAAATATATGGAAACCTGTTGTAACAGTCACAAATCAGTCGCTGGTGATTAAAGAACACTTTGTTCTTCAAAGCTGGTAGGCACTTCCACGTAGCCAGAAATCTAAGTTTCCCTTCCACACATAAAAATATCCAATGTAATTAAAAAAAAAAAAGGTAGGATAAAAGGGTAGATGTGTGATCAAATAAAAGTATTATCTGATTACTGTTCATCTTGTGTGAATGCAAAGGTTTTGTCCCAAAGTTTTCCTGACAAGATGGAGTTATTGGGCCTTTTAAAAGTGTTAGCTGAAATACCTCCCTTTTTTACCAGTATATGTTGTTTGCTCACTGCTGTATTGCTGGTTTATGTCTGTAACAGAAACTGGCTCTAGGCCAGCCCAGGGGTCCTCAAGCATTGAAGGTCTGTAATAGTTTTCCACATCATTAGACACTCCTTTCTCTCTGCCATGCGCTGTACCAAATGGAGTAGATGTCCTGGGTGATCCCTTTGGAAGAAAACCATCAGGTAAAGAAACATTTATTAGACTAATTCAAACTAATAAATAATATAATAGTTTCCTTTAATGTCACAGTGCTTTGAAGCTGATTGTTAATGATAATTACTACTCCTCATTGGCATCTTCCTCAGAAATTATTAACTTTATTTTATTTTTAATTATGAGTGATTATTTAACAAGATAAGAGCAAAAACCCAGTCTTCTCCAAAATACTTGTTTACATCACTCTGGCACATAACTACAAAAAAGCTACTTGGGCTATTTTTCATAAGCTGCCTAAGTCAGTATATGTCTAACTCAGAAGCCAAACAACAAAACAGGGAGTTAGAGGCTGAGGAAGAACTAATAATGTTTACAGGAGCAGAAGTCAGATATTACATATTATAGATGGAACACATCATTGTATAATGCAAATAGCTACAAGTGACCTGAAAAACTTACTGGGAAAACCACTCTGTTTTAACCAAACTAGTGTTCTGTGAAATTTGAGAACAGATGACTTTATCTGATATACAATATGGATGGTAATTGGTGATTAAGCAGATACTGTGAAAACCTGTTGTATAGAGCTTTCAATATTTGATTTATTTTAAAGATCAAGGACCACCACAATTTATTCTGCAAACCTATGACATGTGGAAAATTGCAATATTTTCTCCTGCCAGCATCATCCATTGTATTCCTCCTCTAACTCACTTCCCTAAAAAGTGGGGCTGTGTTTAAAGCTCTATTCCTTTAAGTTAAACAACCTGAATTAGAGATACATCATAGCTGGTCTCCAAACATGCCTGTAGCAGTGACAGAAGTATGATTAGGAAAACAGGACTCCTTGAGGCTGATTATCAGCCCCTTACTTTGTACAGGTCAGTAAAACCCTCCCATCTTTTTGGACCAGCAGTGACAGTATTTGAATCTGACTAATAAGCCCTCCGGAATCGATGTAAATAGATTAATAAGAAATGACAGAATCATAAGAAACAATTTCAGGGCAAAACTGAGAAATGGTGCCATATAGCGAAGGCCCCTGTGCTCAGCCAGAAAAACAGATTCCACTGAAAACTGCTTGAACCGATTTCTAAAAACGTGCTGTGGCGGGAGTCTGCTTGTGCTCTCCCAGGTAAGTAATTTTCGAGAATTCATAAAGCTTGATGATAATGGATATGCCACCATATGTAAGAACAGCCAAGTCTTTCTTACAGGGCACTTGTTTCTAATGATTTATTGTGGTACAATTACTTTATGTAGCTAAGGTGATGATCTCAAACGAGAAAAATTATTAAAAGGTAGAGAATCGCTTTATTACTATGAAGGTAAGGTCAGAGAATCACCTCAGAATACATCTAAAAACCTAGAGTTTCCTAGAGAAGATCAACATGCACTAGCAAGAGTGATGTTTATATTAAGCACTCACATTTAGTAGTAAAACAGTAGTACACAGCATATTATATCTTCAAAATAATAATAATAAAAATAACTCTCTAAAACACCATGTTTAATGGAGACCTGGCAACTCTGACACTGTCAAACAGTTTTGAGTTTTGAGTTTATTTAATGTTCATTCTAACCTGCATAACTCAAAAGGAAAGCTGAACTGACACAATGATCTGCAGTATCCAGTGACAGAAGAAAATAATTCAACGGTAAGGGTTTTTTAAAATGGATTTTATTTTATAATATTAAATTTCACTACAATATAATACAGGCCATCAACACTGACATTTTAGCAAGTTTGAGATATAGGAAAAGTATTATGTAATACAAGACTGTTGGCCTTCAAGAAATCCTAAATTTAAGCATGTAGATTTCTTTTTAAAATTATAATACTCGTCACTACATACTTTTCCCCCGTGTATCTTTTTTAAGAAATAAAAAAATCAAAATGTCATTATCCACCTTACAGGCCTGTAGAAAAGGAAAATAGGCCTACCTGTGCAAACCTGTGCAAGGAAAATCGTTTGATGCCAGAGATACCTTAAAAAAAAGTTTGTATTTCACTGTCACTGATGCCAACAGCCTTTTCTCACTGAACTTTCCCTAAAGAAACCATCAATGTGTTCTCAATAATTTTTCTCAGATAACAAATATCTCTCTATGTAGGAAAAAAAAAAAAA